TTTTTTATTTTTTATTTTTATTTTATTTATTTATTTATTTTTTGATACAGGATTTCTCTGTGTAGTCCGGGCTATCCTGCAATTTGCTTTATAGACCAGGCTGGTCTGAAACTCAGAGATCTTCCTGCCTCTGCCTTCCAAGTGCTGTGATTAAAGTCTGTGCCATCAGCGCCTGGCCAAAGATAACTCATATATTTAAATCTTTTTTTTTTTACAAGTTAGTATTTCTTTTTATAATTTATTTTTATTTTATGAGCATTAGTATTTTGTCTGCCTGTATATCTGTGTAAGGGTGTCAAATCTTAAGCTACAGATAGTTGTGAGCTACCATGTGGGTGCTTGGCATTGAACCCAGGCCCTTTGAAAGAGCAGTCAGTGTTCTTAACCACCGAGCCATCTCTCCAGCCTTGTTTTTTTTGTTTTGTTTTGATTTTGATTTTGGTTTTTGGTTTTTCGAGACAGGGTTTCTCTGTTTTTGTCCTGGAATTAGCTCTGTAGACCAGGCTGGACTTGAACTCACAGAGTTCTGCCTCCAAGTGCCAGGATCAAAGACCAGCCCAGCTTCCCCAGCCTTGTTTATTGTTTTCTTAAGAACCTTTTCCACAATCCCTTTCTAAGCAGCTACAAGATTTCGCTTTTCATAAATTCTGATGATGCTGCTACAAAACAACTTTCTGCCCATTTCATCGTTTGACTTTAATCCTAGTGTCCAAGCCTGAGCAATCAGGCTTAGTTTGATTTTACAGCAGGTTTTGTTTTCATTCTTCCAGTTATTTATAATTAAGGCCCAAAACTAGATTTTTAGAGGCTATTCTTCATTAAAGAACCTGAGAGACTGTCTCAGGACTGTATTTATTTATAAAGGGTTTTTGTTGTTGTTGTTGTTGTCATCACTTTCCCCCCCAGAAAGTAACTCTTCTGTGCCTAGAGAAGGATGAACTGATTTCTGGTTTTAGTGCTAAGTAGGTCAGTAGGAGGAGTGAAGGAAATTTCTTGCCTGGTTCTTGCCAGTAAACTTCAGCATATGTCTAAAGAATGTTATGCTGGCCTCAGTGACAGAGCAATGGGGTGGAAATAAATAAGCCCTTCTAGAAAATAATCAGCCTAAAGACATGCAGTCTGAACTAAAAATTGCTTCTCCCAACCAGTTTGATGGGAGTGAGAATGGCTCTAACTCTTTTGCTAGGAGGAGGTCGTGGCAGTCATTGGCCACTTAGTATGAGGAATTTTGTGTGTTTGTTTGTTGTTTGAGACAGAGTCACATTATGTCCTAAGCTGTCCTAGAATTTACTATATGGCACAGACTGCCCTCAGTTCTTGAGATTTTGCCTTAGCTGCCAGAGCACAGGAACCACCATGACCAGCTAGATACTTTTTGGTTTGGGAGTAGTTTGTTTGCAGTGGTGAGAATTGAGCTTTATGGTCAAACATTCAACTGAGGTATATCCCCATTTTTGTTTCTGTTGTTTGAGATATAACTCACTAAGTAGCCCAGGCAGGCATGGAATTCATAGTCATCCTACTTCTCTCTGTAGTGCATGCTTTAGTCTCACACTCAGGGATAACCTTGCTACCAATTCACTCCCTGTTTAGGGATTAAATAGTAGACTGGTTGGGATTTGGCTGGCCCCACTCATTTTAGTTACGGTTTCTATTGTGACAAAACACCATTACCAAAAACAACTTGGGGAAGGGTTTATGCCATCTTAGAACTCTCAGGTCATACTCCATCACTGAGGTGAATTAAGGCAGGAACTGGGCAGGTGCCGTGGAGGAATGCAGTTTATTACAGCTCCTGATAGCTGACTCAGCCTGCTTTCTTATACAACTCAGGACCACCGACTTGGGATGTGGCACTGCCGGCAGTGGGCTGGACCACATCAGTCATCAATCAAGAAAATGCTCCCATAGACTTGCCTCTGGATAGCCTGGAGATATTTTCTCATAAGGTTCCTTCTTAGCAGATGACTCTAACTTGTGTCAAGATGACAAAACCAGCCAAGAAGTCCCATGGCTATTTTCCAGCCTCCCAGTTTTTGTTGTAGTGAGCTTTCTGAGCTCATAGAATTATTCTTTAAGTTTTTTATTAATTTTTTATTATGTGAGTTTGAGCATACCATAGTATATGTGTAGAAGGCAGAGGACAACTTGTCTGTTCTCTCCTTCTAACCAGGGTTGGTTTTTTTTTTTTTTTTTTAAATCAAATCAGGCCATTAGGCTTGACAGCAAATGCCCTTACCTGCTAAACCACCTCACTAGCTGTAGAATTTGCTTTTTGAAAAGCTTCCTTAGGGAAGCTACCAGGTTTATAAATGATCTCACCATATGGAACCAGTTTGGTAGGTGTGCCCAGAAGTCTAAAGGTTTCCACTGCAGCCGTGCTTTGCCCCTACTCCCACAGAAGGCATGTCTTCATGGCACCTTTTGTGACCTATACTGTGTTTCATCGATTGTTCATTTTTCTGCCTTCCCTGTTAGACTGTAGGCTCAACTGTTTTGTGGATTTTGTTTGTTTGTTTGTTTGTTTGTTTTGGTCTGTGTTTATATCACTGTATCTGCAACAGTAGCACAGTATCTACCATTTAGTAGGGCTCAATTAATAATGTATTAAAGGAAGGCTAGACTAGGAGGCAGAGAGGTGGCTCAGGGTTTGAGAGTGATTGCTATTCTCCCAGAGGACCCAAGTTCAGTTCCCAACAAGCACCTGTAACTTCAGTTCCAGAGCATCTGATGCCCTCTTCTGGCATCTATGGGTGCTCACAAATACCATAAATATAAATACAAATAAAACAAATCTTAGAAGAAAGGTTAGACTAGGCAGAATTTGAGAATAAACATTTATGACCTGGTAGTCCAGACCTGTCCTCCTAGCATTTAGGAGGATTGGTTGCCAGGGTTACATAGTGAGACCATCTCTTAAAAAAATAAAAATTAAGACCAGCAAGATGGCTCAGAGCTGCCTGTCACCAAGCCTGGCAACCTCAGTTTGATCCTGGGACTCACATAGTAGAAGGAGAAAAATGATTCCCACAGATCGTTCTCCAACCTCTACACTCAGCACTGTGGCACACTTGTGTGCACATGAATACACACACACACACACACATATACAATAAATTAAACAATAAAAATACCCCCCAAATTATTACAACATGAAAAAGTAAAAACAAAGATAAATAAATACAAATAGATTAGAAGATGACTGAGCAAACCTACCGAACTGAGTTTGGGCCCCCAATCCCACTGTGGATGCCTAGTGTGCGATGGTTGGTGGCCTGGAGCCAGATCTAAAGTTAGCCTAAATTAAGTGTAAGAGTAGTAGTGCACATGTCCTTCATCCAGTACTTGGGAGTTAGAGGCAGGTGGATCTCTGTGAGTTTGAGGCCAGCTGGGTCTACACAGTTAGTTTTAGACCAGCCAGGACTACATAGAGAGACTTTGCCTCAAATAAACAAATGAATGAATGAATGAATGAATGAATGAATGAATGAATGAATGAATAAATAAATAACATTCCAATTTTTTATCTAGAATAAAAGTAATATTCTTTTGCTACTATCCTTTTTTTGTTTGTGTTTGTGTTTTTTCTCTGTGAAGCTTTGGCTTGCTTGAACTCACCTTGTAGACCAGACTGGCCTCGAACTCACAATGATGTGCCTGCCTCTGCCTCTCCGAGTGCCAGTGTGCACCACCACACCTAGCTAATATCCCTTTATTTCAAATAATAATGTGTTTCCATCCATTGTCAGGCTTATTAAGGCTTATGCCAGAATTACCTAGTCTTTAAAAGAAATTATGAGCTGGAGAGAGGGCTCAGAGGTTAAGAGCACTGGCTGCTCTTCCAGAGGTCCTGAGTTCAATTCCTAGCAACCACATGATGGCTCATAACCATCTATAGTGAGATCTGGTGTCCTCTTCTGGAATGCAGGTACACATGCAGACAGACAATATAAATAATAAATCTTTTTAAAAAATAAAAGTAAAAAATAAAACAAATTATGTATGCATGTGTTGTTGTGTATCTGTGAATGTAAGTATAAGTAACCACAGAGACATCTGATCTCCTAGAGCTGAGGTTATAGGCAGTTTATATTATTATTTGAACCACATCATTTGGGTGCTAAGATTCAAACTACTAGAAAAGCAACAAGTGTTCTTTTTAAAATGTTTTTTATCTTTTTTTAATTTTTATGTGCATTGGTGTTTTGTCTGCATGTATATCTGTGTGAGGGTGTCAGATCTTGGAGTTACAGATAGTTGTGAGCTGCCATGTGGTTGCTGGGAGTTAAACCTGGGCCCTCTGGAAGAGCAGTGCTCTTAGCCACTGAGCAATCTCTCTACAACATCATCATCATCATCATCATCATCATCACTGTTTTTTCAAGACAGGGTTTCTCTTTGTAGCCCTGTCTGTCCTGGAACTCACTCTGTAGACCAGGCTGGTCTCAAACTCACAGAAATCCACCTACCTCTGCCTCCCTAGTGCTGGGATTAAAGGAGTGCACGACCACAGTCCAGCATCCCTATTATTTTTAAAATATCAATTCCTTTGGCTATGTTGGTAACATTCTGTAATCCCAACCCTTGATAGATCAAGGCCAGCTCAGCTATACAGCATGTTGATGTCAGTCTAGAATACATGAGACCCTGCCTTTTCCATCTCATGTACATATGGGTGTGTGTGTGCACATGAGTGTGCACGTCTGTGCTCCTTGCTAACATCTTGCCTACAGTGTTCAGCAGACACTGCTTCTATTTCTTTGACATGGAAATTAAGATAAAGTGAAGTGCCCTACTATTGACCATCCCAGGACAACAACCTATCCTGCTGTTAGTCTCAGTGATTTTACTCTGGAATTAGACTCAGGAATTAAAGTATCTCTGTTTGAAAAACACAATATTAGACTAGATTTGCAGTTAGTATATTAACTGGTTAGTATATTAACTGGTGTGCTAACTTCGAACCTAGCTCATTTTTCTCTTTTTCTCTCTCCATACAGATTGATAGAGCTACATTCTCCTGATAGCAGAAACACCTTGATCCTACGCTGCAAGGATACGGCCACAGCACACTCCTGGTTCGTAGCTATCCACACCAACATAATGGCTCTCCTCCCACAGGTACTGGCTGAACTCAATGCCATGCTTGGTGCAACCAGTACAGCGGGAGGCAGCAAGGAAGTCAAGCATATTGCCTGGCTGGCAGAACAGGTAGGTGGGAGGCAGAGCGAGGGTTTATGTTCGTCCCTCAGAGGTAGAGTGCTTCCCTACCTTGAATATGGCGTGTAGTTAGATTATTTATATCTGTCTACATATTCAGTCTCTTTGTGTGATAGTGTGAGTGAGAGAGCGTGTGTGTGTGTGTGTGTGTGTGTGTGTGTGTGTGTGTGTGTGTGTAAGAGGCAGTGTCTCATTATGAAGACTGGGCTAGCCTTGAACTCACAGAAATCTCTTCTGTGAGCCCTCTGCCTCTCCAGGGCTGGGATCATAGGTGTGCGCCACCATGCCTGTTGAGAGGTACGTCTATAGATTAGATAGCACTCAGCTTCTGGATATTCACATTGCAGTTCTTCTGTTTGTCTTTTGTTTTTCCTCTCTCACTTCCTTTCTACCATTTAGCTACTGGTTTCTAATCTTCACCCCCAGCAGCAGAATTAACCTTCATGGTGTCATCACACTATAACTAAACAAAGTTTCCTGTTACCATCTCTCTCTCTCTCTTTTTAAGATTTTATTTATTTGTTTGTTTGTTTGTTTGTTTGTTTATTATGCAGTGTTCTGCCTGCATACCAGCAGAAGGCATCAGATCTCATTATAGATGGTTGTGAGCCACCATGTGGGTGCTGGGAATTGAACTCAGTGATGTCTGGAAGAGCAGTCTGTGCTCTTAACCTCTGAGCCATCTCTCCAGCCCCCATCTCTCTCTTTTTAAAACAACTTCTTTATTTACAATATCTATTTTTATTTTATGTGCATTGTCATTTTGCTCGCATGGATGAGGGAGTAGATCCCTGTAACAGGAGTTACAGGTAGTTGTGAGCTGTCATGTGGGTACTGGGAATTGAACCTGGATCCAGTATTCTTAAACTGCTGAACCATCTGTCTAGCCCTTTTTTTTCCGTTTTGTTTTTGTTTTTGTTTGGTTTTTCAAGACAGGGTTTTGAGTCCCGGCCATCCTGCAACTAACTCTATAATTAGGCTGGCCTCAGACACACAGAGATCTACCTGCTTCTGCCTCCCAAGTGCTGGGGATTAAAGGCATGCGCCACCCACACCAGGCTACCATCTCTTTCTCTAAACAGCTTTCCTGTGCTTTTTGTGATTTAAGACTAGGGTCAAGGGACTGGAGAGATGTCTCAGTGGTTAAGAGTGTTTTCTGTACAATCATGAAAGCCAGATGCAGATACCAGCACTGACACAACAAGCTAGGTAAAATAAACGCCTGTAACTACTGTTCCAAGAAATGTAACACCTTTCCTGGACTCCATGCACCACCTACACGTACACACAAATTAATACAATAAACAAATCTTTAAATTAGAGTGTGGGTCTGTGTTAGCAACACTATGTAACATGCTTTGACTCTGCTGTACTAGCAAGCAGTCTCAGACATCATGAGAATAAATGGACATGACTACATTTTAGTAAAATTTGAAGGGTGAATTTGACTCAGAGGTCATAGTTTTTTCACTCTTTCTGTAGACTATTGGCATTGTTCCTAGGGACAACAGTCTCTAGTTTATCTCCCTGCACTAGAACTTAAAATATACTTAAAATATAGGGTTGGAGATAAAACTTCATGGTAGAGGACATGTCTGATTCATACAAGGGCCCAGGTTTAGTCCCCAATACAAGAGGAAGAAAATACACAAAATATTTTACAAGCCATTAAACAAGATTCAGTTTAGTCTATAACTGAAAGATAAAAAGAAACAAAAAAGCCTAAGTGGATTCTGAATGGGGGTAAAGGGAGAACTGTTTAGACCCCAGGTTTAACACAATAGGGAAAAAGTTCACACAAAATATCAAATTATATCCCTCATTGTCATGTGGGACAGGGGTAGAAAACACTGAGCTTGGGGGTTCAGAGGTGAGTGGTCAAGTGCTGCCCCTGTCTTTCCCTGGAGGATTTAAATCTTTAAAACTTTTTATGTCTGAGTCCTAGATCACCTATGCATGCAAACGGTTAAGGAAGAGTTTATGCAGGAAAGCATCTCTAGGTATCTCTTCTTTTGTTTCTGTTTTGTTCTAAGTTTTCTAGGTCTAGTCTTCTGTCCTCTGCTCCATCAGAGTTTTAATTATTTTCTCAAGTTGAAGATGATTTTGTTTGTCTAGAAATGGTGTTTCCACCAAAGTTCTGATTTGGTAGATTTCTGGTTAGGCTTGGCAATCTTGCTTGGTAGTTCCCCAGAGAATTATGCCACAGGACCAATTTTAGGAGGAGGAAGAGGAGGCGAAATATAATCAGCATCTAAAATTGGTCCTGTGCCATAACTCCCTTTGTTGGATTAATCAACATCATTTCTAAACAACTTGAGGAACTAATTAGAACTCTGCTTGATGTGTGAATAAGTAGTAGGTGATTGTGTAGTAATATTATTTGGGGGATCTGCTAAACCTCCTCTTGCTTCTAAATATCTTTTTGGGGTTTCTACCCAGTTTAGACCATTTAGTTTCCAAAGAAAAAGACACAAGGACCTCTTAAATTTATAATAAGCTTTAAAGCACAATAACTGGGCAGATATCAACCCTCTAAGCTATTTTGCTATTTCCCAGCTACACACCCCTAATTACTTGCCATAATTATTCCTGCCTGGGCTGTTTCTGTTCCATCAGGCTGGCCCTCATGGCCATGTGTTCATGGTCTATACTGCCCCATGACCACTTCCTTCTCTCTGGCTTCCTCTCCTGCCTTTTTCTCTTCTGCCCACTTACAGACTTCTAGATAGTTTTATTAACCAATCAACTTTAAGTTGGGGAGCAAGGTTTACATAACCTCACTTGGTATATGTGAGAATTTACTGGACTGAAACCAGATCTTGTGGACTAGCATCCAGCATTTAAATACATGGTACCAGACCAACCCTCAACATGGCTATTTTCCTAGATAACTGAGCTTCATGTAGCTAAACGTGTATATTTGAAGCAAAAACATGTACTTCCTAAATATAATGGAGAACTCTTGCATTTGTATTCTCGAAAATACAGTGTAAGGCCAGGAGCATAGTTCAACATTATAGCTATTGCCTAGAATGAGGCCCTGTGTTCAGAATATCAGAAAGACAAACTGCATCCTAGTTAACATTTACTTATTATTGCACATATGTTTGATGTATGTGTAAGCATAGGCTTGTGTATTTCACTGTTAAGGTGTGGAGGGGTCAGAGGAAAACTTCTAGGAGTCAGTTTTTTTTTTTTCTGTCTACCCTGGACCCCAAGGGTCAAACTCAGGTTGTCGGCTTATATGGTAAGCACTTTTTTTTTTCTTCTTTTGCACTTTTTAAGTGATGAGCCATCTTATTGATCCATGGTCAACATTTTGAAAAAAATAGGCTGTAATTTACTATAACATACAGAGTTGTGTTATTTTGGAATGTATTGTTATAAAATGTTTACGATACTAATTAATACACAGTTTGTGTCTTAGATTGCAATGCACACTGTTTTTAACTGTAGGTTGGATTTTTTGTTTTGTTTTGTTTTTGTTTTTTGAGGCAAGGCCTCACTATATAGCTTAGGCCCCACTAGAATTCTTAAAGATCTACCTGCCTCTGCCTCCTAAGTGCTGAGATTATAGGCATGCACCACATAACACCTGGCTTCCTTAATGTAGATTTTAATCAGAACTTTGCTGTATAGATTTTACAGAAGACATGAGTTTCTATCCTGTTCTTAAAAGATATCATATATTTGACATATGGGAACTTTTATCATTTTGAGCATAACAGTGTATATTAATTAGAATTGGTGATGCTCTATGTTATGGAATGGAGTACAATTGTCATGTCACTAGATAACACCTATGACATTTTAGGAGTGAGCTTTTCAGATACACCTCACTTCACATCTGCTGACCTATGGAAATAACCTCATGGGGATGATCCTGTATCACAAGTCTATTAGTGGGAAAGCAAAATGGTGACCTCCGGTGTTAGGCCAGTGCCCAAGTCACTTCTGCAAACAGCTCATCAGTTTGTTACTGTTGATGGGCTTTTGGTTTTTCGAGACAGGGTTTCTTTGTGTAACCCTGGCTGTCCTGGAACTCACTCTGTAGACCAGGCTGGCCTCAAGCTCAGAGATCCACCTGTCTCTGCCTCCCAAGTGCTGGGATTAAATGCATGTGCCACCACTGCCTGGTGCTCATCATTTTTATAGTTAGCTCTGATTTTGGATCTCACCATTGTAACAGGCAAAACTAGATGGTGGAAGACAGCAATGGAGGCCTATTCTCATGGCTGTGACCGAGAAGGATTTGCTGCTTTATGATTGTATGCCATGGACAAGGGATGCATGGGCATCGCCATGTCATAGCTACCCTCTTGTGGCCACAAGGTAAGACAAAAAGAAAAAAATACTCTTAAGTCTATTAAAGAACCATAAAGTGAATTCTACTACCTTTGATGCCTAAAATAGCATTTAAGAAGCTAATGTAGACAGAAGGTATTTAAGAAGCTAATGTAGACAGAAGTTTTTTTTTTTTTTCCTCCCCAATTTATTGACCAGGCACTCATGGTATTTGTGTGTGTGTCTGCTTTTAAATTATTGAAGACTTGCTTAGTCATGGAGATAATAGGGGATTTTGGGGTTTTAGGGTGGTTTTGTTTTGTTTTTATTATTGACTGTGACTGAAAAACCACTGAAATTGTAGCAGCCTTTTGAGTAAGTTATGACATCATTTAAACCAGAATGTGGTATAGTGGATAAACTTCACTCAACTTAGCCAAAATATCTTTGCAGTACTCTTTGCAATAAAAAAACACATAGCAATAAACATGGTTTTGTCCTGAAGCCACAGAATGTTACTTCCGCATGTCACAGAAGTAGGTATTTGGGAGGTAGAGAAATGTAGAGTTGTATAAGAATAACTTTCATTCACCAGATGTAATTGTCATCTTCAAGGCTTCCATCTGCTAACCTTTGCCTAGTCCTGGACGCTTCTAGCCTCTGTACAATCTAATCTAGGCCTAGAATGTTTTTAGCCTCTTAGACTTACTACTGAATAAGCATACCCTTCCTAGCTCTTTCTGAACTCTGGCTGGCTGATGCAACTCAGCTGTTCTGGCTCAAATTCCTCTCCAACCTGACTTATTCAAACTGGCTTCTCTCAGCTTCTGACTGAATTGTTCTGCTTGGCTTCAAACTAACTCTAGCAATCTGTTCTAATCTTCTGGCTTCTTCCCATTCTCTGGCTTGTTCTGTCTTCACCTAAGCCTAGCTTGTTCTCTCTTCAACATGTCTCTAAAACTCTCCCAGTAAAACTGTCTTCTCTCTCTATGGTACCCCTGTCTCACTTCTACTGTACTGCTCTTAAGTAGCTTCTTTCCTGTCTGTTCTTGTGAGAGTTGTGGGTATTCTATTCTTAGACTTCTGTCAAATCTTTCTCTGATTGGTCACTTTGTCTGCCCCTCAATTAGACTTTCAAACATGACTGGCTGCTTCCTTTTACAAATTAACTTTACCTTTGTTGTTTTAGATTAAAAGTGTGTACTATTCTAGCCAGAGGGATTAAAGGTGTGTCATACCAGTCAGATCACAATAACCTACACTTTAGGTGTGATCCCTTGCCAGAGTAGTCATGTTGCCGGATTAAAATTCCTCTACAAATTTTGGGTGTCTTAAGAGATAACAACTACAACTAAAAACATATTCAGATTTAGTTTTACTTGGATTTTAAAGAGTCAGCAACTGAAAAACCCCACAAGCTGTGCTTTCGGGAATCGTTCAGAAGTTTCTTTCAATGCAGTAAACCAGAACCCAAAAGAAGTCATGGTTCTCTCCTGGGCATGAAGCTGCCATTTGCCTTTGACAGAAAGAACAAGTGGAAGATAATCTGGTGGTGTTACTAAAGGGAGGTGAGAGACACTCAGAAACATACTTGGTAGCTAAAGAGGAAAGTGATAGTGCCATCTCCATATAGAACACTGCATGTTTCCTGTTTTGAACAACAACAACAGAAAGTTATATTTTGTGACAGGCTTTCACGATGTAGGCTTAGCTGGCCTAAAACTCAGTATGTGGCATGGCTAGCAATGAAATTATAGAAATCCACCTGCCTTCCAAATGCTGGGAGTAAAGGTGTATTCTCCACATGCAGCGTGGTATCATTCTTTTCATGAAAACAGAGTTTAAAATTGTCATATAGATTTCCTGGAGCTTCTCTAATTCAGAGCTGGAGCTCCTCAGTTACCAAATAGAGCAAAAGCATCTCCTGGCCTTCAGAACTAGGATGGTGTGCTCTCCTTAATTCTACCCTACCTGGAGGGAGGAAGCGTCTTGTGGAAGACTAAGTTTAAGCATCTGGTTCCACATCCTCACTGAAGTTACCTTGACATAAAAAACTATGACATCTTAGAACATCCCACAGTGCTTGTGCACAGTGCCCCTCACAAAACCTGAGCTTGGGCAGTGATGGCGCATACCTTTAGCCCCAGCACTCAGGAAGCAGAGGCAGGCAGATCTCTGAGTTTGAGACCAGCCTAGTCTACAGAGCAAGTTTCAGGATAGTCAGAGTTACACAGAGAAGCCCTGTCTCAAAAGTCAAACAAGGAAACAAACAAAACAAAACCTGAGCTACTGTCGCTTATTCTCCTTACTCTGTCTCACATGGACTAAGAGCAGGACAGGAATCCTACAAGGATGTTTCCACAGATAAATGAGACCAGTTAACATGCATTCCAAAGACATAGAGCACTCTAAATAAGCCTTTGTTCTATAGTCTAGATATTACAGTCATCTCATAAACAAGCAATTTCTGTCCATTGGATGACTACTTTAGTAGTCAAGTAAATAGGGCAGTTGTATATTTAAGGAGTAGGTCTGCTCAGAGCCTTCTTAGGTATGGCACCAAAAACACATACAAAGCCAAGCATGGCAGCACATACCTGTAATCCCAGCACTTGAGAAATAGAGGCAGTAAAACGAAGGTTGGGCTGTGCTACATGAGAGCCTGTGAAAAGAAAGAAGAAGAAAGAAAAAAAGGAAGAAAAGAAGCCACATGAGAATAAAAGAGTAAGACGTAGTGTTTGTAGTTGAAATAGCATCATCAAGAAAATGAAGCCTGAGGGGGCTGGGAGCCAACTCAGTTGGTGAATTACTTGTTGTATAAGCATAGAGACCCGAGTTCAGATACCCAGAACCCCTGCAAAAAGCCAGGTGTAGCTGTAATCCCAGTCCTGATTACAGAGACAGGCAGATCCCTAGAGCTCACTACCTGCTCACTAGTGGAATCCGTGAGCTCCAGGTCCAGGAAAAGACTCTCTCAAAAACTAATGTGAAGTCACCATACTGACCTAGCCTCACACATGTACAAACGTGTGCATACATGTTCTTTTAAGTGAATAGACAGTGAAAAACATAACAGAAACACATAGGAAAGGAAAAGAAAGATCTTGATTATCTGCAAAACTAAGTAATCCCTGATAAATTTAGAATTAATTATGCTCCAAACTCCAAGATCAAGTAACATTGTTTGATTGGTGTAAATTAACAGGAGCTAAAGTTTATGTTGGATTACACATTTAGATTCTTAAAATCAGCTCTCTCTCTCTCTCTCTCTCTCTCTCTCTCTCTCTCTCATGTCTGTGTGTGTGTTTTCTCTCAGTACATTACATTTTTGGCCAAGAAGGAATTAAGTAATGCCTGGAGGGGGTGTTGAAGGACATTTTTATTTTAGATCTTTCCTAAGATCAAAGCTGGGTACACAACACAGGTAGAAAAATGTTAATGTCCTAGTTGCTGTGGATTTTGCAGTCTTTTCTTATAAGCTTTTGACTAGGAGAGACAGAGCCCAAGGATAACATGGCTACTGTTCCATGTGGACAGTTGAGTGGTATTGAGCTTGTGGGACTAATATGGCCAAAACTGCTAAAGCTCATCTTTGCATGAGCTCATCTGGCCCCCCACAAAAGTGGGGGTGGGATATTTGGCAGTGTGTTCTAACCAATGGCTGCTCCCCAAGTCCAGCAGCTGTTTCAAATTAGATCCCCTCTGCCAGATATTTCAAAATTAAATCTAGAAGGAAAATATCCTCCTAGACATGATACTTTGTAATGTCTGACATGGGATTAGCAATCAAACTGAATGTGGTACTTTCCTCTGTATTTTGTCTTACTTGAGTCTTATGTAGAGTAACTTTAAAACTTAACTCTTTGTGAGCTAGCTCATGTTCCCTTAGCATGTAGGTTCTACAGGAGTCAGTTTAGTTACAAGGTTCTCAGGTAATTCCATAGCAAGTCTGTAAGTTCAAATGTATCTCATAATAATATTAAAATGTTATTTGTGGTTTTTACTGTTGGGACAGTTACTTGGGGGTAAGTTAAAATGTTGATACTTTTACATGTTTCAGGGCAACTGGTAACTTTAAATTTTCTTTATTGAAGTAGTAAAAACTCAGTATGGAGTACACATTGCTCAGTTGGTGAGGTTCTTGTTTCAAGCATGTGTGAGTTCTGATCCCAGCACCCAGGCAGAAAGTCAGGCATCCTACACATGTGCCTGTATACCTCAATGCTAGAGGAGGCTGAGACAGGAGGATTCCTGGGACTTTTTGGCCAGCAGCCTAACTCCAGATTCAGTAAGAGACCCTGTCTCAAGGAAATAAGGTCACAGAACAGGCCATCATAGAACAGACGCCTGATGTCCTTCCACATAAGTACAGGTGTTCATAACCCACATACGCCATATTTACAGCATGAATTATCAGTTTTATTTCATCTTAACCTTTGAGTATTCATCTTTTTAACATTCTTCATGATGAAATAAGCTGAGAAAATACTTGTGCATCATCCTGAAGTATGATCTGCTGTTACATGCTTCAAAGAAAAAGACCTGTGTCGTTGATCTCTGAGCTGAGCTCTAGCTGCTCCTCATGACCCACCAGTTTCCACTTGGAGAGGGGCTGATTAAAAAGCCACCATGCTCAGATCTGTGTTTGATAGGAGTCTTCTCAAAAAATAACCAAAGTGATCTGTCACCTAAGGAAAATACTGGTGCTAATTGTTGCCTGTGATAAAATTCTACTTAGCAATGAAAATTAAAATTTTGGATCAAGTTTGGATGGTGCATATGTGGAAAACCATGTGCATTTTAGATTTTTTGTGATGTTCATTTTATTTCACATAAAGTTCATCCATGTGGTAGTTGATCATAAGACTTCCTCTTCCTAGTCCTGAATGGAACATGTCATTGTTGGGGTTTTTTTTTTTTTGTTTGTTTGTTTGTATTGTTTTTGTGTGGTATCTTGTTTTGTTTTGAGAGAAGGTCACTCTTTGTACCCCAGGCTGACCTAAAACTTAGAATCCTCCTGTCTCAGTCACTCAGGTGCTGGGATTACAGGCATATGCCACCAAATTTGGATGATTATTTTTTCGTATTCTTTCGGGGGAGGGTTGTTTTTATTTTTTTTCTTGATATGAATGTTTGGCCTCCATGCCTGTCTATGTACCATGTCTGGTGCTTGTAGGGGCCAGAAGAGGGTATTAAAGACATCTCTTTTCCTGTTGTAGGTCTTTCCTTTATGAAGACAGTAAGTAGTATTATGCCTGCTGTGACACCAGAGATTATGTATTCTATGGGATTAAAGGATAGTATCTGCTTCAAAATACCATAATTTGGCTTTGAAATGCATTCATCTAAAACCTGCTGAAGCTTTTTATAAGTTTCTGCTTACCAATGAGCATAAACTCCTGGCATCTTTCTCCAGTAATGCAGTAATTACCTTAGCTCTCTGTCTATTTGTGGTCCTAGGTTGGTTCATTCAGGTTCTGGATGCCGGTCACCCTCCCTTGGATCTGACCTGACCTTTGCTACCAGGACGGGCTCACGGCAGGGCATTGAGATGCACCTCTTCAGGGTTGAAACACATCGGGATTTGTCGACCTGGACCAGAATACTTGTTCAGGGTTGTCATGCTGCAGCTGAGCTGATCAAGGAAGTCTCCCTAGGTAGAGATACTTTTGTTTGACCTTTTGTTTCTCTCTCGCTCTCTCTCTCTTGCTCTCTCTTTCTCTCGCTGTTTGTGTAGCCTGGCCTGGCCTGGAACTCAGTATGTAGCAAGGATGAGAGAATGATTTTGAACCCTTGATCCTCCTGCCTCCACTTCCTTAGTGCTGTGATTACAAATATACACTATCATTTCTGGCCCTGACCTTAGATTTCTGACAGTAATTATTAGTTTTTTCAAGATTTATTTTTATTGATGTGTGTGCGCATGTGTTTGTGTGTTCGTGCCATGTGTGTAGGTATTCCTAGAGATCAGAAAAGGGCAACAAAAGAGACAGGATTTGCTTTTGTGGGTGCTAGGAATCAAACTGGAGATGTTTAGAAGAGCGAAATATATGCCTTTAAAAGTTAAACCATCTCTCTTGCCCTCTAACAGTAACTAAGTAAAACTGCTCAGCTCTAAAGTAAAACTGTTGTTGTGTGTGCCAAGTATAAACTGTTAAAACATGGTAGCTGAAGGGGTGATGGCCGAAAGAAATCTGGGATCTGTCTCACCACCAAAGCTTTCCCATGCCTGCCACATGGCATTAAGCCCCATACTGCCACGTGGCTTTTTTACTGTCTATCATTTTAATCTACATTTAATAGTGTAAGAATTCAGGCAGTAAAAATTAGATGTACTGACCATAGTTAAGAAGATTTGGTAGCTAATGTATGGCTAGACACCCTTAAATACAAGCCAAGCATCTGACAGTATTCTAGCTACAGAAAATAAAGTGTTTGGAACAGGAAGTTTCTCTTCGGAAGTGAATGTTCTGTTCAACTCTCAGGAGTTGGTTGCCGGTTCCGCTATGGAGTCTCCCTCTAGTGGCTGGTCCCAGCTGGTTGTCGTGTTCCACTGTGGAAGTGCCAAACTTGGTGTTGTCTCACATACACTCTGTAAACATACAGGTATTCCAGTTTGACTTTCAGTTTCTCAAAAACGAGGCTCAGTGTGGCTGGGACTTGAATTTCAGTTCTTATATATAGCCAGTGCCTTAAGCCCCTCCTTCCCTCTCCAGATGACTCATACTCATGATCCGATTAAATGCCTGAAGAACAGACAATATCCCCTTCATTCATTAAATCAGCAAATATTTACTGAGTGCGCTAGTATTTACCAAGAGCTAGGCTTTATAATGAGAGAGATAAAAGTAAATAAGACCCATTTCCTGTCCTTGACCAAAGAGCTGTGGGAAGAGTCCAGTGTCCTGTTGTTCTCTGTAATTAGCTTGTTGATTAGACTTGATAGGCCTGTCTCACACCACTGACCAGGGATGCAACCCCAGCCTTTCCCTGACACAGTTCTAGGGACCTACTCCCTTCAAAGTTGCCCTGCAATGCTCAAAAAAACCTGAGTCATTCTCTCTCTCTCTCTCTCTCTCTCTCTCTCTCTCTCTTTCTCTCTTTCTCTCTTTCTCACTCTCTGTCATCTCTCTGTCGCTCTCTCCTTTCCCCCTTCCTCTCCCTCTTGTTCTGTTTCTGTCTCCTGTTCTGCTCTAAGGTCAAGTCAAAAAACTCTCCATAAACACTGACGCTCCCTAAACTACAAGTTAACAAAGTAACTGCTCCCAGAGTAGTAGAAGGAGGATTTGTGGTGTCAAATATCTTTATCATTAGGTCTCTGCCATTTTAATAACGCCAGTCTTTGATTTTAAGAAATATAGAGTAGGAATGGGAAAGTGGAGCTCAGTAGGACCACGTAGCCACCTGGGATTCAATCTTCGGCATTGCCAAAATAATAAATAAAAAGACATGGGCTGGGAAGATGAAGACCCATGTTTAATTCCCAGAACCCATGTAGAAATCAGCTGTGCTGGCTCGTGTGTGGTTCCAGTGCCAGGAAGGTAAAGACAAGGATCCTTAGGACTCACTGGCCAGCCGTCTAGCCTATGTGGTGAGCCCAGACCAACAAGAGGCCTTGTTTCCAAAATATAAGGTGGATAGCACCTGGGGAGGAACAGTTCCCAAGGTCTTTCCTCTCTCTGCACACATGCTGCTGTGCGTGCACCACACACTCACTCAGACAAAAGGTAAAAATGGGTAATAACATGGCTACATTCATTTCTGTGTAATATTGACTGACCCCTGGCTTTAGCATGTTACTTCTAGTGTGTCTTTCATTCAGTATGCCCTATGATGTGTAAAAGCCAATGTCCCTCCACTTATGAGTTTAAGACATAGTAACTAGAGCAGTGGAAGGAAAACCAGATTTGTGGGGATGGTGAGTGTGTTAAAGGGAAGGATGGTGATTATATCCACTGTCCTGGATTAGACTGGAGTTAGCAGTGCCCACCAAAACTAATTTTTCATTTTTACCTCCCATACAAAATAATAGCTTTCATTATGACTTTTAATTTTTTAATTTTATTATGAGTGTTTTGCCTACATGTATGTATGTGCACCACAGGGATGCAGTGTCATGGAAGCCAGAAGAGGGTGTTGAATCACCTAGAACAAGAGTCACAGACTCTAGTAAGCTGCCATATTGGTCCTGGGATTGAAACAAGAATAGCCACTGCTCTTAATTCAGCCATCTCCCCAGCCATTCATTATGACATTTTCATACACATATATCATTATGTTTTGCTCATATTCATTCCCTTCACCCTCCCTTGTCCCTGTACTGTTTCTCTTCTCTCCCCGAATATTACCTGTCCTACTTAGCATTACTATTGCTGTGATGAAACACTGTGACCAAAATCAGCTGGAGAAGAAAGGATGTATTTCACTCACACTTCTGTAACAGCTTATCATTGAGACCAGTGAAGGCAGGAACTCAAGCAGATCAGGAACCTGGAGGCAGGAGCTGTTGCAGAAACCACGGAGGGTGCTGCTTATGGCTTGCTCCCATGCCTTGCTCAGCCTGCTTTTTTATAGAACCTAGAACCACCAGCCCAGGGATGGTACCACCCACTTAGGGCTGGGCCCTCTTCCATCAATCACTAATTACGAAAATGCCCTGTATGCTTACCTAGGCTTAACCTTATGAAGACATTTTCTCAGTTGAGGCTTCTTCCTCTCTGATGACTCTTGACTTGTGTCAAGTTGACATAAAACTAGCCAACATAGTCACCCTTCTGGATATATAATTTGGTTGTTTTGTTGTTGTTGTTTATTTGGTTTTGGTTTGGTTTATTGCCTTTTTTTTTTTTTTTTTTTTTTTCCCCAAGATAAGGTTTCTCTGGCTGTCCTGGACTTTGTAGACCGGCCTGGCCTTGAACTCAGAGATGCACCTGCCTCTGCCTCCCTAAGTGCTGGGATTACAGGCACGTAATCATTTTTAAAATAATTGTTTGTGTTGGCTGTGTGTATGCACAAGTTTATGTGTCTGTAGAGGTCAGAGGTCACCCTCAGGGGCCACCACGTTAATTTATTTTTTGTTACATTTATGTCCTGTGTGTGACATGTATAGGGGTCACATGCAGGAGCTGGTTTTCTCCTTCAGGAGTCCCAGGTTTCCAGTGCAAGTCCTTAGGGCTTAGCAGCAAATCCTTTTACATGCTGAGACATCTTGATGGTTCACATTGATTTTCAGACAGGACCTGTCACTGCATTAGGCTATGCTGGCTATGCATTAGGCTATTAGGCTAAACCCTAAGAATCTGCCCATCTCCACCCCCCCGGCACTAAGATTACAAAATGCACCACCACACCTGCCTTTTTGGGGGAGGGGGTTGTTTTTTGTTTTTGTTTTCAAGACAGTGTTTCTCTGTGTAGACCAGGCTATCCTGAAAACTAGCTCTGTTAGACCAGGCTGGTCTTGGATTCAGTGATCCGCCTGCCTGTTTCTCCCAAGTGCTGGGATTAAAGGCATGTGACACTACCGACCAGCCCACACCTGACATTTTATGTGGGAGCTAGGGATGTAACTCAGGTTCCTGTGCTTAGCCAGCTCCCTGGCCCCACACTGTCTTTTTCTTTCCTTCTTTCTTTTCTTAGTTTCTTTCTTTTCTTAGTTTCTTTCTTTTCTTTCCTTCTTTCCTTCTTTCTTTCTTTCTTTCTTTCTTTCTTTCTTTCTTTCTTTCTTTCTTTCCTTCCTTCCTTCCTTCCTTCCTTCCTTCCTTCCTTTCTTTCTTTCCTTCTTTTTCTTTCATTACTGAAATGTATTTCATTTTGGTTTTTGAGAAGCTTTTTATAGCCAGTGATGGCAAGGAACTTTTCTGATTGTTCTCCCTCTGCCTCCCAAGGACTGGGATTATAAGCATATAGTATCACAGCCTCTGGAACTAAATATTAAAAATGCATGAAGAGGGGCTATAGAGATGGCTCAGAGGTTAAGAGCACTGGCTGCTCTTCCAGAGGTCCTTAGTTCAATTCCCAGAAACCACATGGTGGCTCGCAACCATCTATAATGAGATCTGGTGCTCTCTTCTGCCATGTAGGTGTATATGTAGACAAATCATTGTACACATAATAAATAAATCTTTTAAAAAAATGCATCTGGCACGTGTGTCTGCCTGCAAGAGCCAAAGGGAGGAAGGGCTTCTTTTCCAGTCAAGCTTTTTTTTTTTTTTTTTTAATTGTGTTAGGCCATTTGCTCCCCAGGGAAAAGCCGTACCAGAAGCACTTAAGGTTAGTCTTCCATGAAACACAAGAGGCCAGAGCAGAAATCTAAGTTCCTGTAAAGGAAAACTGGGGAAATAGACACAGGATAGAAAAGCAAAGTGCTTAATATAATTCAGTTGGACTTAGCAACTTGGAGGTAATCAGTGTCCTTGGAGACAGAGATATTTAATATTGTGATGACAGAAGTAGATTGTGAAGGTCGAGGGGTGATGAGACAGTAAAACAAACACAGTGTGGATAGTTCTTTCAAGAAGTGTGCTGTGGACAGGAGAAGAGAAAGTGTTATGAAAGAGTTGAACATTTGTTTAAAGGTTGATAGTGGCGGAAGGTATTCTCAAAGAATGTTTGCCTCCTATGCATGAGGACCTGGGTTCAATCCCTAGCACCACATAGGCCAGATACGATGGTGTGTGACTAATTCCAGCATGTTCCAGTTTCCTTTCTATTGCTGTGATAAAGCACCCTGACCAAAAGCAACTTTGGGGAAGAAAGGACTTATTTGGCTATACTTTCAAGTCACAGTCCATCACTGAGAGAAGTCAGGACAGGAGCCCAAGGCAAGAACAATAGAACACTGCTTACTGGCTTGCCAACAGGTTCATGCTCACCTGGCTTTCTTATGCAGTCTGGACTCTCCCACATCGATCATCAATTTTGTCCCTCACAGACATGGTCACAGGCCAATCTGATCTGGACAGTCTCTTAACTGAGACTCCCTCAGATGGCTCTAGACTATGTCAGATTGACAGCTGAGAGGTGGACACAGGTGAACCGAAGTTCAAGATCATTCTTTACTGCACAGGCCAGCCTGTGCTACATGGAGACTCTAAAATAAAATAAGGGGCTGGACAGATGGCTCAGTGGTTAAGAGCACTGGCTTCTCTTTCAAAGAGATAGATTTGACTCCCAGCCCCCACGTGGAGGCCCACAACTATCTGTAATTCCAGACCCAGGGGATCCAATATCATCTTCTAGGCAATAGGTATACACATGGTATACAAACATAAATGCAGACAAAACGTTCATCCACATAAAAATAAATAAAACTGTATATACGTGTATATGTATATATATGTATACACATATATATGGCATACCTATGTATACATATATATGGCAGCCAGGCATGGTAGACACACCTTTAGTCCCAGCACTCTGGGAGGCAGAGGCAAGCAGATGTCTGTGTTTTCAAGGCCAGCCTGGTCTACAAATCGAGTCCAGGACAGCCAGGGCTACAACAGAGAAACCCTGTCTCAATAAACAAAATATAATAAAAAAATAAAATAGGGCTAGATGGTTCACTGTGTGTGAGAGCCCCTGACAATCTGAATTCAATCCCAGTGTTCACTTGGTAGAGCAAGAGAATCTTCTGGGTTTTCAAGGCTGATTAACCATATACAAGACTGTTTTTCAAAGTACCTCTTTTTCACATGTTTGCTTTCCTTTCCTTCCCTCCTGAGGCAACACAGTTCAAAGTAGAACATGTGAGAAATCTCAGGGTCTAGGAATGTAACTCAGTGTTTGCCTACATTTGAGAGGAATTGTGGGGTTGATAGCTTCCCTTTCCTGGCTGTAACTCTCTGGCCATCATTCACTGCCAGTTCCTCTCCTGCCTGCATGGCCCCTTCTACAGCCAGGACTGTCTTTGAACTTTTCTAGATTAGAACTGCCCATCTCCCCTTTAGACCTCAATCCCTTTACTACAGACTGCTTTTGAGATGTTAGGACTATACTCTGGGTACCTTGATTAGGGTGTGGCTGTCACCCCCACCTCACCCTCAGCCCTTCATTTAGGGATAGTGCATGGATACTTCTGGAGGAAGCTGATTTCTTCCATGATTAGTCCTTACCCACTGAATTCCTTCTCTGACAATGAGACACACCAATATTAATCTGTTTTTCTTTTTCCTAGTTTGCTAAACATTAATTAAATTTTTTTTTTGCATATTCAGTGAGAGGATGTTGGTTACATGTGATGGCCTGCTTCAAGAGCCATTCCTGTTAAAAGGGAGAAGCAAAGCTCAGCTCTGATCTTGAGGTGTCACTCTGGCTCAAGCTAGCCTTATATTGTTGATTCTCCAACCTCAGCATGCTTAACTAAGTGCTGAGACTGTACTCAGTGATAACAGTTTCTGTTTCTGTCAATTCAGATGTATTTTTATTTGGTGAGCTTTTAAGTTTTTATTGCATTAGTTCCTGAGAGTGTGTGTGCATGTGTTGCATGCAGAGGTCAGAGGACAATTTTTGAGTCTGTCCTCTCCCTTCCACTATGTGGGTCCAGGGATAGAACAAGCTTGGCAGCAAGCACTATTTACCTACTTAGTCATCTTGCAGCTCGTGTGCGCGTGTGCCTGTGTGTTGGGGGGGGGGTGTTTTGTTCTTTTTTCTGTAGCATTGGGGATTAAACCTAGGGCCTCATTCCTGCTCGGTGATCAAGCACTCTACACTAGGCTGCGTCCTCAGCCTCAGATGTATCCTGGAAAGCAGCAACCTCATGACTCTAGCTGAGCATAAGCTTTTGATTGACACTATCTCCTTCCCCGATACCAACCAAAGCATGTTACAACCCTGAAGGATATCTCTGCTGTTGCTCCATCCTTCCTGCCCAGGCTCTATGGACCAGGCTGGCCTTGAACTCAGAGATCCACATGCCTCTGCCTTCCCAGTGCTGGGATCAAAGGCATGCACCACCACCACCTAGCTAGTTTTATCCTTTTCTTTAGGGTCTATCTGAATCCTAAAAACCTTTTCCTGACTTTAGGTTTAGCTCAGTTTTGAGTGTAATTTTGTTTTATACATTCTACCTTATACAGTTAGGGACTTTTAAAGTCTTTGAGAGTGAAGAATGCCCCTTTGCCTCTGCCTCATTGCATATAGCTGATATCCAGTTGAGCATAGTCAGAGTAAAGGAGAGTTAGACTGTACCCTGCCACATCTCAGTCAAGATGCTGACTTGGGCCAAAGTAATCTTAGGGCCTGGAGACTGGGCTTAGTGGTTCAGAGCATGTACTAATCTTTCAAAGGACTCAAGTTTGAGTCCTAGTACCCATGTCAAGTAACTTACAACCAACTGTAACTCCAACTCCAATGGGACTTGTATCTCCTTGGATACCTGCACACACGTGCACATACCCCCACACAGATATATTCACATATAATTAAAAATAATGCCACGTGTGGTGCAACATACCATTAATTCTTGCATTCTGGAGTCAGAGATGGGTAGATCTTATAAGTTCAGGTCAGCCCGGTCTTCCATATCCAGGCTACCCAGGGCTGCCCAGGAAGATGTTGACTCAGAAAGAAAGAAAACTCAGCCTGGCTTTGTAGCCCATGCTTATAATTTCAACACTTGGGACACATAAGCAGGAAGATAAACAGGAGTACTTACTTACATACCAACCTGGGTACATTGGACCCTGTCATTTAATAAAAATAATAATAATGACAGGCCTTTAAAAAATATGTACCTGTGCCAGGCGAGGTGGCACAGGCCTGTAATCCCGGCACTTGCAGACGGATCTTTCTAAGTTCTAGGACAGCCAAGGCTACACAGAGAAGCCCTATCTGGAGGGTGGGGGGAGTACCTACTTCTTGCATTTGCATGTCATCCTTCCTTGCACAGGGGCGTGCTAATCTTCATGATTTAGTCCCGTCTTAGTTTTTGTGCCATCAAGCAAGTGCATGTTTATCTTAGGAAATTTTAAGCAGCTTAGGCCTCATATATTCTCAAGGAAAGATTGTTTTTCTTGTTTGAAACCAGAAGAATCCTTTTCTACTTGATAACTGAAATAGAATCTTGGTTATAGATGAGTTGGTTTGTTTTGTCACTGACAGGCTGCACCCTAAGTGGCCAAGAGGTAAGATTCACTGTCCACTATGAGCACGGGTTCACTATCTCCAGAGACAACGGAGGCTCCAGCAGCATATTGTACCGCTATCCCTTTGAACGACTGAAGATGTCTGCTGATGATGGCATCAGAAATCTCTATTTGGATTTTGGTGGTCCTGAGGGAGAACTGGTAAGAATGTTTCTGAAGCCAGACATGGTGGTGCATGCCTTTAATCCCAGCACTTGAGAGGCAAAGGCAGGTGGATCGCTGTGAGTTCAAGACCAGCCTGGTCTACAAAGCGAGTCCAGGACAGCCAAAGCTACACAGAGAAACCCTGTCTGGGAAAAAAAAAAAAAAAGTTTCTGAAAACTGTTTGCTTCCTTTCTTTTATGTTGCTGGGTGTTGACTTTAAGGCCTCTCTACATCCCCAGCCCTCTTGCTACTTTTTACCTCCTATGTAGAAAATTATGGCCTATCATTTGACATTCCATTAGAGCTTGGAAATTGTTTGTAAGTTTTCAGGATGGTGCTGGGATTGGGTTTTTGTTGTTTTCTTTGCCCCACATTAGACACCATTTTCAGGTCTGGAGAGATGGCTCACTAGTTAAGGGCACTGGCTGCCCTTCTGGAGGATCTGAGTTCAATTCCAAGCAACCACATGGCAGCTCACAACTGTTTGTCACTCCAGTTTCAGGGGATCTGACACACATGCAGACACAACACCAATGTACATAAAAATAAATTTAAAAAAAAGAGGGAATGGCTGGAGATATGGCTCAGAGGTTAAGAGCACTGGCTGCTCTTCCAAAGGTCCTGAGTTCAATTCCCAGCAACCACATGGTGGCTCATAACTATCATTGATGAGATCTGATGCCCTCCTCTGGGTAACTGCAGGTACCCATGCAGGCAGAATACTGTATAAATAATAATAAATAAATCTTAAAAAAAAAAAAAAAGAAACCATTTTTTTAAAGGTTTGTCTGAGGACTGGGAAGATAGTAAAGTGTTTTGCTCTGCATGTATGAGGACCTGATACATTAAAAAGCTGGATGTGTAACACACATTTGGGTTTTTTTTGTTTTGTTTTTTTTTTGTTTGTTTGTTTTTTTTCTAAGGCCTATTTATGTATGTATTTATTTATTTACTTATTTATTATATATAGGGTGTTCTGCCTGCATGTACACTTGCATACCAGAAGAGGGCACCAGATCTCATTGTAGATGGTTGGGAGCCACCATGTGGTTTCTGGGAATTGAACTCAGGACCTCTGGAAGAACAGCCAGTGCTCTTTACCTCTGAGCCATCTCTCCAGCCCTGTAGTACGCATTTGTAAGCCCAGCATTAGGGAGGCAAGAATGGATAGATCCCTGAGCCTTGTTCGCCGTCTATCCTAGCTTACGTGACAAGTTCCAAGGCCAGTGGAAACCCTGTCTCAAGAAACGGCACAGAAATAGCCATAGAGATGGTTCAGCAAATAAAAGTGATTGCCACCAAACCTTGTGATCTACTTGGTAGAAGGAGAAAACCAAATTACTTAAGGTTTTTTGTTTTGTTTTGTTTTGTTTTGTTTTTGACATATATGCTGTGGTACTCGTGTGTGCGTGCACACAGACACACACAAATAAGTGTAATTTGAACATGAGACTGTAGCTCAGTTAGTAGAGTGCTTGCCAAGCATGCACAAAGCCCTGTGTTTGAGCCCCACATAAATCTGGGCATGATGGTACATGCCTATAATCTCAGCACTTGGAGATCCAGGCAGTCAGATCAGGATAGCAAGGTTATCTCAGCTATGAATAAGTTCAAGCCTTGCTAGGGCTACATGAGACTGCCTTAAAAAAAAAAGTGGGACATCATATCTAAATTTATTTAATACCTTTGTTTATAAAGTGGGTGTAGGGCTGGAGAGATGACTCAGTGGTTAAGACCACTGGCTGCTTTTCCAGAGAACCTGGGTTCAATTCCCAGCACCCACATGGCAGCTCGCAACTATCTGTAACTCGAGTTCCAGTGGATCCAAACCCTCACACAGACATACATGTAGAACAAACACCAACTGTACATAAAAGTAAGAAAGGAAGAAAGAAAGGAGTGCGTATATTAAAGTGATGATTCATGTCCTTTTTCACAGACTATGGACCTGCATTCTTGTCCAAAGCCGATTGTATTTGTGTTGCACACATTCTTATCCGCCAAAGTCACTCGCATGGGACTGCTTGTATGAGCAGCAAGAGTCAAGAAAGAGCCTTGACTGCCACAAGAAGTATTTCCACCTCAGAAGATGAACATTTTTAAAAAGCAACAACGAAGAAGCACAAAAAGAAGCCCTTGCTCTCCTCCATCACAGTGCCTTCTCAAGGACCTGCAGACCACTGCTGGACCACAACAGGGTTTAAGGAGGGGCTGACCTTTCTCACACAGCCTTGGTCAGAAATTCTAGAACTGTAATGAGCTCCAAATCGAAGCTGTTGAATTATCGTCTCATTTCATAATGTGATCTCTAAGTAATTAGGTTTATTTCCCTTGTTATGAAGGCTGGCTCTTTGGGTTTCTCTTTGGACATAAATAACCAAAAGGGGCTCTTTTCTTCCTGGGGCTTAGCCTTGAGCTCTTAATAAGATAACTGTTGCTCCCCAGGTGCTAGCGTGCAGCAGCCCATTCCTCAGGCATATCCCACACAGGTCAATTACACTGCAGTGTTACTGTCTTCACCTGGGAAATGTTTGAGCAGCATCCCCACACTCCCCACTGTAGCACCAGCTCTGCCCCTCCTAAGTGCTGCCTTTAGGACTCAGAACCTGCAAAGTCTGGTTGCATTCGCCTTCACTCCCTTTTTCATGGTGTCCAAGTTGAAAAGCAAGTTGGAAACCACTGCTCTAAAAGAGGAGTTTTGCTTCCTTTAGTTTTTATTGAGTTTAATTTGGTAGGAGTCAGGGCATGGTCTATGGTTTATTTTGAAAGAAAGATCCTCATTTTAAGCTAAGCCATTTCTTATTGCTTACCAAATGTGCCTTTGGTTAGGGTCAGTGCAGCTTTGTTAGTGACTTTAGATGGCTGGATCTCACTGCCACTCCAGGGATACCAGCTAGCTTTGAGGTTGGTTCCTCAATGACATCGTTCAGTGGTGATTTTGTGTGGGTCATAGCTTTGCAGCACAGACATCCTATCGTGTGGCCCAGGGCACTGTGAGGCCAGGAGAGATCCTGCACTGGTCTTTTGTGGCCCCAAAGTAGTAAGGACAAGTTGCCTCCAGCTCAAGGTTAACACTGGCTTCCCAACACACCTGGGAGGGTGATGAGAGATGCAGCAATGTTTGCCTGTGTTTTGTTGAGCATGGCCAGCTGTCACCGTGACTCAGTGTCAGTGTGTCCTGGAAGATCATCCTCAGCTTGCCTGTCCTGGTTTGGAAGGAGATAGATGTGTCTAGAAACATGTGAAACGCTGTCTACATAACATCCAGATTAGCACAGCCCTTGAATCCAAACAAAAAGGAAACATCGACTTAGAGTTTTCTGTGCTCTCTGAAAACATCTAGATTTCTCTGGGGCGCTACACGACAATGTGACACTTCCGAAGGGGCAGAGGGAGAAAAGACAGCTGTTCCTGAGGAACCTGAGCTGTGTGGCTTGAGGGCCTTGGCAGACAGCTCAGCCACAGGAAAGAAGAGATGGCCCAGCAGGGGTGTAACCCTGCTGTCCTAGCTGCCCATGAGTCAGCCATCCTTCTGCTCTTCAACCAGACCAATAGTATACAGAGGTTGGGGAGCAATGTCAGCCCCACCCCGACTTCAGATAGGTATTGGAGCACAAAAATGAATATTGGGATCCATTTAAAACTGAAAATTAAAATTTTAAAACAGCTTTCAAGAACTTAAAAAATTTTTAAAGTAACCCTGACATTGGTTCCATCCATGGCACATCTTCAGCTAACTCAAAGAAAAAAAAAAATATGTTAAAGGTCTAGCTCTGAGTTCAGAAAGCAAAACGTCAACAAATAACCTCAGGCCAAGAGCTCGGCCACTTTTGTTACTCTGAGCTACAAATGGCTCAGGCTTCCGTAGTAGACTTGAAGTCTTCTGTGTTGGCATGAAAAGCTAACCCACCAGAGAGACTGACAGGAGCGTCTGCCACAAGAGCCATAAGCAGGTGGGATGACAGGCAGGTAAGGTGTGCATCTGTTTTGGCAGAGGACTGTGGCCCAAAGGGTTTTTGTTTTGTTTTTGTTTTTTGTTTTTTTCTGTCCAAAGGGTTTTTAATACTATCAGTTGGATCTTGTAAAATGAAGGCTTACAGGTGATTTCTTTGTCATTAGCAGCCCCAAGAGCAAGGGTCCTAAGCTGCTTGTTTCAGAAGCTGTAGCAGCCCCCAGGCATGTGGTCAATTAAGTGTGTGGAATTTTTCAAATCACAAGTGGAATGCTTTTTGTGAGTGCAAGACACTTTGATATATACCTATGTTATCAATTTTGTACTCATATGCCAAAATATAGCAAAATATTTTCAAATAATAACTAAAAATGAGCATCTTTGATGATTCACCTCTTCTATAGAATCAGCTAAATTGTCTTTTTTATTTTGAACATTGTTGGTGATATTTTGGGCTCCTGGGTGTCAAGTGGACAGGAAACTGCAGAGCACCCCCTGTTAGATGGGCCACTTCCTAGGCATCCACACAGTCCCAAACCAACCCTGCATATGAGAAATCTCCTATAAGAAAAGGGACTAAAGAAAGCTGATGTTTATCAATAAGCCTTGCTTTGAAATTGGTATCTCATATTCTATATAAGGAAATGCTCATGTGTATATGCTGTATTTATTAATAATTATAGCTAAATTCACCGATTTGTGGACAGTTTCAGGTTAAATATTGGGACATATGTGGGCAATCAGAAATGTTACTTTAAATGCCGTCTGCCTCCTTTGAAGCCATGTTTAGCACTTTTTAAACTAAGGTGATTCTGAGTGCCTGAAGGGGTTTTGGTTTTTGTTTTTGTCTGAACTCTCAAAGTTTGTTACTGGAAATTATTTGCATGGTAAGAGAGATTGAATTATTTATTTTTTTATATGTAGAAAAATCTCTCTAACCAGCAAATAGCTAACATTGTTACTGATTTGTTTTCCTAACTTATTCTCCTGAACAGAATGGTAGCAAAGCTTTGTTCAGCTGAATAAATGCACTTCGCTGATAAACCAAAATTTATTCTTTCAAAATAAAAAATTATCTGTTATCACCAAAAAAAAAAAAAAAAAAAAGCAATGTGGAATCTGAACACCATTACCCCCAAGAAAAAGGTTTTAATATGAGTAGTTTTGATGAACAAAAATGTGTGGGGAAAATTACTGATTTCTTAAAATTTTTTAAGAAACTCACAGTCTTCTTGCTTAATATAAATGCATGTGGATTTGTTTGTTTTCAAAACCATGGAAGAATCTGTCCCTGTGTTTTATGCCCTGCCTGCTAAAAGAGTTAACAGTTTTGAAGTGTGCAGGGAAGAGTAGTAGACTCCAGCACTTTCTCTGTTCTTTTGTATCTTGTCTTGGACACCTACCTGGGTCATTTTTTTGTTCTCACTGGTTCAAGCTATTGATTGTACACTATATTTAAACCATCCAAACAGTTTGCTTCCCTTCCCAAGTGGCTGCTAGCAGCCCTAGATGCCGAGAATGAACTAGCTCCTTAGAAAGCTGGGCTCAGTGGTTAAGAGGGCTTGCTGCTCAGTCATGAGGACTGGAGTTCAAATCTCAGCACCCAAGTCCGATGGCCAAGGAAAGGGAGTGGTGGTGGGGTCTCTTAATCTCTAATGAGGTCAAATGCCAGGTCACTTAGTTCCTAAAAGCACCTTACTCTGGATGGATTCTAGTATGTAACACTACAGTGGGAGTTTGAATACTTAGGAAGCTAAGCCAGGTACTAGGGCTACATAGCAAGTCTCTCAAAACAATGAAATAAATTCTAATACTTGGGAGCTGCAGGCAAAGGATTCAAGATTAGCTGTATAGCCAATTCAAGGCCAGCTAGATTACTTGTGCTTCTGTATCAGTAAAAAAGGTAAACTTGAGGTTGTGTAAACTTTGTTGATTTTACTGCAGCCATGCTCTTTCAGATGTTCCTGTCAGGCACATGTTCCAAGGGGTATTATATTCTATCTGAGTTTAGGAATCTTTCCATGACATTACTTTTGTGACTTTTCCTCTACTGAAGATGAAAGAAATTCCATTTTCCCATTGTTCCTTCTCCATGCCCTTGTTTTAGTTGCTTAGTAAGTTAGAATGGTTTTAACTTTCTAAATACAATCCTTAAAAGCTGATAGCAGGGCTGGAGAGATGGCTCAGAGGTTAAGAGCACTGTCTTCTCTTCCAAAGGTCCTGAGTTCAATTCCCAGCAACCACATGGTGGCTCAAAACCATCTATAATGAGATCTGGTGCCCTCTTCTGTACATGTACACAGACATCGTATACATGATAAATAAATAAATCTTAAAAAAAAAAAAACAACCAAAAAATCCCCAAGCAACAACAACAAAAAATTAAAAAAAAAAAAAAAAGCTGATAGCAGTTCACCCTTTAAGCTCTGTCTTTCACTGTATGAACACTAGACATTCATGAAGGGTGTGATCACTGGTAGAATCATGCTTCCTGTCAGGGTCATATATCTCCAAGCAACATGTTTGTCACACAGTATGATATAAGTGGAATTTATTTGCTCTAGTAATTGGCTGCCTAAGTAGCTGATCTGAAACTGGTTCTCTTTCTAAAACAATGAGATGGCCTGGAGGTTAGCTCACTAGCAGAGCATGTGCAAGGCCCAGAGATCCTCTGGAACACCACTAAAAACAAACAGAAACCCACGTCCAGCCGGTCAGTGACACAAGTTTATCAAAGGTGAGAATTTCAGGTTGAGGTTCAGAAACAGCAAACAGCCACAAGGAGCACATTAGTTAGATTTTTGTCTCCAGCAGTGGCCAAATCAACTAGAAAAAAAAAAATTGTTGTTGTATTAACTCAGAAAATAGGAGTTCTGAGTACCTGATGGGGTTTTGGTTTTTTGTTTTTGTCTGAACTCTCAAAGTTTGTTACTGGAAATTATTTGCATGGTAAGAGAGATTGAATTATTATGGGCAGTGGTGGTGCATACCTTTAATCCCAGGGTTTGGGAGGCAAAGGTAGGCAGATCTCTGTAACTTCGATGCCAACCTGATCTACAAAGTGAGTTCTAGGACAAGGCTACACAGAAAAACTCTTATCAGGGAAAAAAAAACAAAAAACAAAAACAAAATAGCAACAACCAAAACAAAACAAACCACAAATTCTTTCTTCTTTCTTAATGCGAGGTGAGGTGCTAGCATTGACCCCAGAGCCTTGGGCATGCTAAATATACAGTCAGTACCACTCCTATACCCATGTTCCCAGCCACTTTGGTTTTAGAACAAAAAGTTTCGGTTTTCTTCTTAGTTTTTAGACATACTTTCATATAACCTATGCCAGCCTCAAATCACTGACCCTCCTGCTTCCAACTAACTGCTGAGAATCATAGCTGTGCACCAGCTTCAAAATGTAAAGGTGAACTTAATTTCTTGCCACCTCTATTTTTCCATCCCTCTTTGGGTGACTGGATCAAAACATTTTTCTAAGATTTATTTATTTTTACTTTGTGTATATGAGTGTTTGCCAACACAGGCACCATATGTGCACATGGTGCCTGGGGGATCCAGAAGAGGCCATCAGGTCCCCTGTGGACGCAGCCAGCGCTCTTGACCACTGCGCCATCTCTCCAGTCACAGTATATGAAGTTCAGTTCCGGCACTTGGGAGGGCTGTGAGGCAAGGAAGATAAGGAGTTAAAAGTCATACTCAGCTATGTAGAGTTTGAGGTCAGCCTAGGTCACGCATGAAACCCAGCTCAAAAATTTTCTTTGTGAATTTAACATGATATATAAACGTGCCTTTTGCAAATTATTCTTTGCTCTCAAATATCAATTGGTTAGATATATATTTTTTAATCTATCATATTACCAGACACATTGGTTTAAGCAGGGAGGCAGAGACAGATCTCAAGGCCAGCCAGGCTTACATAATGAATTCTAGATGAGCCAAGGCTGCACAGTCAGACCCTGTCTTAAAACACACACATACACACACACACACACACACACACACACACACGGGGCATGCCTTTCCAGCACACTCTCTGTGAACTCAAAGCCAGCCTGGTCTACAAAGTGAGTTCTAGGACAGCCAGGGCAGTTATACAGAGAAACCCTGTCTGGGGGGGAACTTGTAATAGATGTTTCATTACTTCATTGCAAGATTGGGAATTCTGGTGGGACTTCTCAGCTCTGAGTTCTCTGCACTTTTCTCAGCCTTGTGCTGACTTCACCTCCATGCCGTTGTCATGATAGTGTTCATCCTAGTCACAGCTAGACTCTGAGGGTATAGTGACTCTATCCATCTTTCGGAAGTAATGGAAGACTGCAGAACAGAAGGTCCGTTGAGAATGTAAACAATTGAAACTGCAAGGCTAATTCATGGTATATCCCTATCTTTCAATCAACAATCTTTTTTTCTTTTTCTTTTTTTCTTTTTTTTTTTTTCTTTTTGTTTGTTTTTGGTTTTGTTTTGTTTGAGACGGAGTTTCTCTGTGTCCTGGGCTCGCTTTGTAGACCAGGCTAGCCTTGAACTCACCTCCCTGCCTCTGCCTGAGTGCTGGGATCACAGGCATGCAACCACCATGCCCAGCTACACAAGCATTTTGTAATGTAAGCCTCTGTGTCACGTTTGCTGAAGGGTCAAAAGGAAACTTCTTGGGCCTGCAAGCTGCCTCAGCAAGTAAAGGCACTTGCTAACAGGACTGACAACCTGAACTCAGTGCCCAGAATCCACATGACAGAAGTAGAGAACTGACTTCCAGAAGTTGCCCTCAGACCGCTCTCATGCTAGAGCACCCACCCATGTAAATTAAATGTATGTGGCGCGGAGAAACTCCATGGATTATTTTTTCTTATAGTCCTTTATTGCCCAGTCATACCATGTCATCTCTTTATTAGCTACTTTGTTTTTCTATTATGCATGTAGGTGTTTTACCTGCAGCAGCGTGTCTGTATTTGTGCAGTGCTTGCAGAAGTCAGAAGAAGGCACCAGGTCCCTGGAATAGGAGTTACAGATGGTTGTGGGCTGCCATTAGGGACTGGGAGCAGGAGCCAGGTCCTCTGAAAAAGCAGCCTGTGCTTGCTACGCTATCTTCAGCAGCCACTCAGTATGTTTTCCCAGAGTCCATCATTGCACTTAGCTTGAGCCAGCAAACCTGCCTGTAGGCACGTTCAGGCTCGGACCATGTTACATGGAAAGTGCATCCAAGCATGTTTAAGGAAGCTACAGTTTTCATCGGGCATAATTTTTTAATGGAAACTTAGACTTTAGTTTAGGAAGGAGGAGACTATTGTAAGTCCCTCAGTAAGATAAATCACAAAAGCAAAAATTAATCTTTATTGCCAACAGCAGAATAATGGGGGAAAGCCATTTTCATTCTTTTAAATAGGCAGCAAAGCTTATTTCTAAACATTGCCAGCCTATTCATTTCCATACATACTGTTTAAGCATCTTCTTTCCTCCTTCCACCCCTGGATGGGGTTTAGACCAGGCTGGTCTCGAATTCACAGAGATCCACCAGCCTCTGTCTCCCTAAGTGCTGGGACTAAAGGCATGCACCACCAACTTCTTTTTTGTTTTTTGTTTGTTTGTTTTTCAAGACAGAGTTTCTCTGTGTAATTCTGGCTGTCCGGAATCAGCTCTGTAGACCAGGCTGCCCTTGAACTCACAAGAGCTCTGCCTGGGATTAAAGATGTACACCACCACAAGGGGCTTCTTCCCCTTGTTTTCATGTGTGCTGGAGTCAGGCGTGAAAATTAGGTCATGCCTTTAGTATCTTGCTCTTTAAACCTGGCCCTTGACAGTCAGGTGCTAACAATTGTGTTTTATTAAAACCACCACATAAGTATTGCTGCATGTCCAGTCCTTCAGGAAGGAAGAAGTGCTTTGCTTCTGTTGGGTCGTGTTAACAGTGGGTGTTTGTTACATCTGCTTGCAAGTCCAAGTTTGCACAATCGTAGTCTCCAAGATCCTCACTTAATATCCTAGGCACTGGGTTCAGCTTTCTTCTTTCAGTACAGGATGCTAGTGTTACGGGTATGGTCTGTTGCGTGAGTTCAGCATGGAGACCTCAGTGACCAAACAGTCTGTGTTCTTTTTGGTGCCAGATCTGAAGTCTTGCAGAGCATAACCTATTTTTTCTCCTGTGCACACTCTAATAATACCCACTAATACGCACGTGTGTGCATTGCTTCCTACACTACTTGTTTTGTTAAAGTGTAAAGACTTAGAAAGCCAGCTTAAGTAAGGCTGGTGATATAGCTCAGCTGAAAGAATGCTTGCCTCGAATACTAGAAGCCCCGTTCTGTCCATAGCACTATATAAAACCAGGTGTGGTGGCCACATCAGTAAACCCAGCACTTGTTTGGAAGATGGGAAGTAGGAAGTTATCCGCAGTTACAAAGTGAATGCCAGGCCAACCTAGCTATATAAAACTGCCGAAAAACATAAAAGGATAAAATTCTACCAATTGGTTGGTTTGCTTCTTACTTTTTTTTTTTTTTTTTTTTTTTTTTTTAAGAATCCTTTATTTAAATAAGACCTCTATCCAAGTCTTCTTTAAAGTTTCTCAAGTTTTCTGGCTACCAAATCAAAAACCCATGTCATGAAACGGAGCAGTATGTGTTCTTAATTTTTACAAAAGCTTTATGTATACTCTATTACTATAGATGCTTAGACAACACTTCCCTTGGGTTGCACATCAACATATAGCATTGTATATTACAATGAAAATTTGTAACTTAAGGTTATTATATATATAAGTATATATGCCTTTGTAACCTTTATATTGTAAATAAAAAGCTGCTTTTAGATATTGTCTCTCTCTCTTTTTTTTTAATGTGAACATAATTTTGGACTTTCAGGAAAGTTTCAAAATTAAAGAAATGGTAAGGTGGCTGCAATCCCAGCACTTGGAAGGATGAGGCCGAGGGAGGCTGAAAGTTTCAGGCCAGCCTAAGCCAGTGTGGCCTGCCTAATACGTATTGCAAACCTTCTGTCTCCCCTTCCAGCACCTTTCCTAATTATTAGCGTTTTCCACCCTTGTTCCATTACCTTGACGTGTCTCTTTTGGCATGCATTCTGTTACCCTTAAATTTCCTCAGGAATGTAGTCTGCCCCTCTTCAGGAAATGACTGTGGTCACAAGACTAACGCCCCACGAAGCCCATGAAGATGATGCCATGTGTCACCTTTGGCTGTCATGTCTCTTAAGAGTCTACAGTCAGCCGGGCGTGGTGGCACAGTCCTGCAATCCTAGTACTCAGGGAGGGCGGATCTCTGTGAGTTCAAATTTGAGAACAGCCTGGTGGACAAATCGAGTCCAGGACAGCCAAGGCTACAGAGAGAAACCCTGTCTGGAAAAACCAAAATGAATGAATGAATGAATGAATGAATGAATGAATGAATGGGTCTTCAGTCTTGAACAGTTCCTCAGTGTCTGAGCGTTAAAGCGCATGAGTACTGAAGCCAATGAGAGGCTCAGCAGGTACCTCCAATGCTGACTTAGTTCAGTTCCTGGGGTCCTACATGACGGGAGAAAATGACCCCCAGAAGGTGTGCACACCCTACACAAGCACACTCCACAGGTGAATATAAAGAAACGGTAAAAAAATGAAAAGCCTGGTGGTGGTGGCACTTGGAGGCACAGGCAGGCGGATCTCTGAGTTTGAGGCCAGCCTGGTCTACAGAGTAAGTTCAGGACAGCCAGGGTTACACAGAGAAACTGGGGGTGGGGGTAGATAACTCTCACACATGGGCCCTGCCCTGCCATCCAGATGTGGTCAAGGTGGCAAGAGTAGCCTTGAATACTAGAATTTCCCTACTATAACTAGTACCTCGCCTATTGAAGCCACTGTTCCCACTTCCCTGTCCACCATCCCACCCTCACCCCAGGACACCCCAGCTGCCTCTTCCTTAGAATCTGAAGTTTCAGTAGCAGAGATACAGAAGCAGTGGCACAGTTGGTGAACAAGTGCTTTTTTTTAATGATGTATTTATTATGTATACAGTGTTCTGCCTGCAAGTACACGTGCACACCAGAAGAGGGCACCAGATCTCATTGATGGTTTCGAGCCACTTTGTGGTTTCTGGGAATTGAACTCAGGACTTTGGAAGAACAGCCAGTGCTCTTAACCTCTGAGCCAATTCTCCAGCCCTTTTTTTTTTTTTTTTTTTTTAAGCTACAGATGGTTGGGAGCCACCATGTAGGTGCTGGCTACAAACCCAGGCCCTCTGTAAGAGCAGCACATGCCCTAAACTACTTACTGAACCATCTCTCCAACCCAGCAACCCCACTCTTAAAAATAGTTTTGAAGCCAGTCATAGTGGTGCACACCTTTAATCCTAGCAGAAGCAGGAGGATCTCTGCGTTTGAGGCCAGCCTGGTCTACATAGTGACGTTCACGCCTGCTAGGTCTGCACGGTGAGACCCTGTCTTTAAAAAAATAATAGTAAGCACTCATGGATAAAATTCTCAATAAATAAAGATGTTTTTTAAAAAACCCTTTTATTCCCACAGACCTGGGTTTGGTTTTCCTGTTCTCCACTTCACCTATTCCATTGTTTTTGTGCTGGAAGTCAGTCTCAAGGCCTCACCAGGCTAGGCAAGTGCTCTCCCGCTGCCCTACACACTCCGCTGTTCTGTTGTTGTTTTGAGAAAAGGTCTCAGGGGACTGGGTTGACCTCAAACCTTTGTTGCTCCTCCTGCCTCTGGTATTGCAGGCAAAAGCCTAAGATGCTTCTTAACCATCATTAAGAGCATGCGTGACAGTACGAAGGCCAGGGCACTGCTGTTTGCGTCCTCTGGTTTAGTGGGTTGTATTGGCTAATGGAGGAGGCTCACTGCTCCAAGCTTGGGTTTACAGTAAAAGCCTCATTCTTAGAACTAGCAGAATCCAGTCTAGGAGAGAGAGCTGTGAGGAGAAAGAAGAAAATGGAATCAACGGTACAGTTACAAGTCAATCCTGTTCTACTGGAAGTGTGGAGGCTGAGAATCAAATATCAAACACTGAGAAAGAATGTGAAATTATCAAGTCTAAACATGCCATGTGGGCCAGTGCCCCAAAACTTAAATTTAGCACCTGCCTTCCCCTTTTTGTCCTCTTGGCACTCCTCATCCCAGCACTAACTCTAGAGCCCAGGGTGTCTCCCTGTCTGAGTTCAGGCTGTCACCCTGGAGACTGGCCAGACGAAATCCCTGTCCCTCCGCAGTGGCTGTGTGGGACAGTTTTCTTGGAATGTGCAGAAGGTACGGTGTGTTTCCTGGGAAGCTCTGTGGACAGCAGTCTCTGAGAGCAAAGCAAGTCCCCACAGAATAGAGTTGGCAGAAGCAAACAGCCTGTGGGCCTCAAACGTAGCACCTGTCACTGACTGAGCAGTGTCCTCTCAAAATTCATATGCTGGGGCTGAAGAGAGGGCTCAGAGGTTAAGAGTGCTTGTTGCTCTTCCGAAGTTCCTGAGTTCAATTCCCAGCAACCACATGGTGACTCACAACCATCTATAGTGATATCTGTGTGCCCTCTTCTAGTGTGCAGGTTTACATGCAGGCAGAATACTATATAAATAATAAATAAATCTTTAAAAAAATTCATATGCTAAGTCTCAGAATGTGAGTGGAAGTTCTTTAAGAAGGGGATTAAGTCAAAATGAAGCTTTTAGAGTGGGCTCTAGGGGCTGGAGAGATGGCTCAGTCGTTAAGAGTGCTGGTTGCTCTTCTAGAGGACCCCTGTTCGATTTCCAGCACCCACATGACAGCTCACAACTGTCTGTAACACCAGTTCCAGGGGATCTACCATCTTCACATCCACACATATAAGAAATAAAAGTAAGCCAGGCACGGTGCCGCACACCTGTAATCCCAGCACTCAGGGAAGCAGAGGCAGGTGGATCTCTGTGAGTTCCAGGCCAGCCTGGTCTAAGAAGCAAGTCTCTAATCTAATATGGACTTTATCCTTGTATGATGAAGAAATTTGGGCATAGATTACCAAGGGGCTGAAGGAAACCCCCTTGTGATCGGTAGTGGTCAAAGTGACCTTGTTCTTGTAGGTGTTCCGTAAAGGCAAGTGCTGATGTTGGGGAGTACTGGCCATTCTTCTGAAGAGATTGAAGCGGAAGAGGAAACTAGGGCAAGGAAGTTAAGGAGGGTGCCAGTTAGAAGCTGGCTAGTGCAGCCTTCAGCAAAACTATTTGCATCTTTATGCATATACCTGCTGCTTATAGGTAAGATGCAGACCCTCAGCAAAACAAAAAGAAACAAACCAAAAACACACACACATTCACAGAGTTTGTGATATTTCCTTGTGGTAGCTTCAGCCATAACACTGCCTCTTTCTAATTACAGGGACTTTTTTTTTTCTTTTCACTTCTGTTTTTCAACTCCTGCAGACCAGCTGACATGTGGGGTATTGTGTTAATGCCTTATCTCCTTCGCAGTCTCGTTCTTTAGATACCTCACTAATAATTACTTCATCCAGTAGATGGTGTCTTGTGTTTGACTCCCAGGGACCCTCTCCCCACAGCTCTATGGCTCAAGCCAAGTCTGGCTGCACAGTAGGCCTGTTAGGCAGGCAGAGGAGGCTTCAAGTAAGGGAAATGGCTTTTGGGAAAGCTGGTTAACAGTGAAGGACTCTGATCCAAAGTCTAGTTTGCAGGGAAGTTGGTTTAGGAGTGGTTTACATAGGGAGTTGGTGGGTGAGTTGCTCACAGGCCAACCCTAATCTCGAAGTCACCAATTGCTGTCCATTTTGGCAAATCTCCAAAGCAGAGGTTAATTTCTTGTTTCGGATTAATTTGCCCATGTGCATTTTCTGGCAAATTCCATGGTAGACAGGTCAGAAGGAGGCATCTGCCCACAGGCCCTTTTGCTGGTGACCAAACACAAAAAACGATACTCCACCTGATTATTGTGGAGGGCGAGAGTCAGGTGAGGGGTGCACAGGGGATTTGACCGCCATGCTGTCTTCATCACCATTGCTTAAAAGAGCAGAACGTTCAGGTGCAAGATGAGAAGCCATGGTTACATGAAATGTGTTGCTGTCGTCCAGACACTTCAAGGCCTCTTTCTGTTCCAGGTCCACTGGGATGCTCCCTCAGCCCCACAGCAGGGCCTGCTGGTTCCTTGACTTCCTGTGCAGTGGATCCCTTCTTCCATCTCAGCTCTACTTGTGCTCCATGGTTGCCTGTGGCCTGTAGTATTGCCTGGAAAAGCCATCCTGAAGTCAATGACAGGTACCCCTCTCTAGCATACTGCTGTACTCACCCTGAGAAGAGAGCCAGGTCAAGTCTAGACTAAGGCTGTGCATGGCATTGTGGTGCACTGGGGTTCTGTCTATGGAAGACTTTGACCTTTGGCCTATGTACTACACTGGTGTCTTGGATAGGGAAGACTTTGACCTTTGGTCTGCCTATGCCTACACTTTGGGTCTGAAGGTGGATGATCAGGTGATCTGTACCCCAAGCTCGGAACCTCGGCACTGACTGAGGACTCCATCTGCTTCCTACTTTGCTGGGCTTGGTCATAGAGCCTTGCATTTCAGGTGACATCCATCAACTGATGAGTACCTTCCCCTCTGCAGTCTTCCATTTCGGCCACCTGAACCCCCTTGCTTTGCCTGCGGCTGAGGGCTGGGAAGAAAAGTCCAAAGCAAGTTATGTACACATAGAGTATGTCAGTTACTGCCAGGCCTTCCCTCCTTTGCTCGCTTTGGTTCTCCTGACATGACTTTAAAGGGCAACATTTCTGGCTGAAGCCGTTGGTACCTTCCCCGTCACCCTCGGCCTTCTTGGCTGCATCATGTACTATGGTCC